ATTCTAGGCAGGGGCTCTACCACTGAGCCACACCCCCAGCCCCTCACTGGGGGATTCTAGGCAGGGGCTCTACCACTGAGCCACACCCCCTGCCCCTCACTGGGGGATTCTAGGCAGGGGCTCTACCACTGAGTCACACCCCCAGCCCCTCACTGGGGGATTCTAGGCAGGGGCTCTACCAATGAACCACACCCCTAGCCCTCCATTAAACTTTACAGCTATCTAAATATGTGAAATTTATTGCTGACTTTAAATATTTCTCTGGCTTCTATTCTCCTGCAATAGTGTAACTACCACTGAGTTTCCATCCATACATAAAGGAAGCAAACTCAGGAGTCACTTCTTTCTTCTAAAGACACAGAATGCTCAGCTGTGCTCGCCTACCACAGGTACTAGATCATGACAGGGAGGCAGATGGCTAGGAGCACCTAGGATCCCCTCCCAGCTCAGCTGGCACAGGGCCAGCCTGAGCAGAGATCTTACTGGAGGTGGTGGAGGCAGGCAAGACCCCGTTCTGAGACTCGGGGGCATCCGGCCAGCGAGAGCTCCTGCAGGGAGTTAGCCAGTAGGTAGAGGCGGCTGAGGCACCAGTCATCCACATTGGGGCAGCGCTGCAGCGACAGAGACCGCAGTTCCTTCAGGGGCACTGCTGGATGAGAGGCGGGTGGCACCAGGGGCCTTTCTGGAGCCCAACACCGAAGGGAAATCCACCCACTCTGGTCTACTTACAAAGGTTACTCATGCCCTGGTAGTTGATGGCACAGCCACTGGCATCCACAGCCTCCACAGGTACCTCCTGGAACTTCATGAACTCAGTAGGAAAATGGCCACGGTCATTTGGCCGGATCCACTCCTTGTCCTGAAACCTAGAATGAAGAGTGGGGTGGGTGAGTGGCACTGCCTGGCTTCCTATGTGGTCACCCTGGCAGCGGGAGCAGGTCGGCACCCTTATCATCCCTTCACACAGGGCACTAGGAGCCCCGGATACTGCTCAACATCAGAGCCAAGAACTGGGGTGGGCACGGCTGCATGTCTGGAAGCCCAGCGTTTGAGAGGCTGAGACAGGAGCATTGGGAATTCAGAGCCAGCCTGGGCTGCAGAGGGAGACCCTGCCAACCCCCCTCACGTGCACGCGCAGCATTCATTCATTCATTCTCTCTCTCTCTCTCTCTCTCTCTCTCTCTCTCTCTCTCTCCACACACACACACACACGCACACGCACACACACACAGAGCTACATTCAGGAGTCCTTGCTGACGGCTGTTTTCAGACACACATCTGATCCTAAGGAGTTGGCGGAAGTGCTCAAACAAGGTAGGAGTAGATAAAGCCCATAGAAACTGCGTATTTTTCCAGAAAGAAGAAAACAAAACAAAATATCCAGGGATCTGATGAGAGATGGCTTAGTGGATAAAGATGCCTGCTGTCAAGGGCAACAGCCAGTTAGTTCCTCAGGGCCCCCATGGTAGAAGAGAACTAACTGTCAAGTTGTCCTCTGACCGCCACACACACACAGTGGCAAAAGCACACCCCCATATACTAAATGTTAAAAAATATATATTTTAAAAAGAGAGAAAGGATAAAGAAAGAGGTTTTGGTTTTTTTTTTTTTTTTGCAGGGTCTTGGGTCTCTGGCCTACAATTTCTAACTCTTCTGCTTCAGGCTCCAATGCTGGGATATAAAGCATGTGCCACCACGCCTGGCTAGGAGATACTCGATCCACCCTCCTTTCTCTCCCCAGAGTTGGGCTTAGAGGAGTTTGACATAATACCAAGCAGAAAAACACTTGAGGTAGGGTTTTGCTGTGTAGCCCAGGCTGACTCTGAACTCATCAAGAGTAGCTGGGATCAAGGCTTTGCACATCACCCAGCTAGCTGCTTGGTGTGACTGAGCACTGAGATGTTATACCTCATGACAGCCGTTTAGACTGAAATCCCAGTCTTCAAAGCATACCCTGTATTAGCAATACCATACATCATTCATTACCATACATCATTCATTCATTGATGCTGTGTGTTTGAGACAGGGTCACAATATGTAGCTCTGGCTGGCCTGGGACTTACTCACTCTGTAGACCAGGCTGGCCTCAAACTCCCTCTGCCTCTGCCTCCCAAGTGCTGGGATTAAAGCGTGTGCCACCATGCCCAGCTG